CTTGTTTTCCCCCCCCCCCCCCCCATTTTTGCATTCTGCTGTTCAGCTGTGACCCTAATAGATAGAGGAAAGCTACATCAGTGTAATTTGTTCTAGGCATCCTTATGACTTGACTCCTTCACATCTACTGGTGGTCTGAATCTATGCGATTTCAGATTCAGGGAAACGTGAAGGGAAAAAACGGAGCTGTTGTTTAACACTCATTATGAGTGGGTTTTTTTTTTCTAACAGAAAAATTCCTCTTCATTATGGGTGAGATCCAGGTCCTACTAAAGTCAACATAGATCTTTCTTTTTTGTGTAACAGGTATTGGGAAAGCATCCTAGTACTAATGAAAGACACAGTAAATCTGGACCATTAACCATCACCTCTCTTCTGAGTTACATCATCAAGGTCTTCTCTTTCCTTGCACAGCAGATTTCAGCCTTAAGTTGGCTTGTTTCTTTGTGCTCTAGACAAATGCTGTGAGCATCTTGCCTTCCCTCTTCATGCTGTGAGGTTCAGGTGGACTATTCCAACCACCCAAATGCTTTTTGTTCACACTGACTTCTCTAATCCGGACACAGCTTCCGATCAGCCCCTCCAGAGCACGTTAAGAAGAGCTGCATGCAGGATGTCCACTGGTCACGCTAAACCCAGCCTGTGCCATTAACAGCCTCCTTGTATCTGCTCGAACCTGCCCATGTGAATGAGCAATTATGCTCACAGGAACCAAGCTCCTCCTCAACCTCAGGCTGGAGCAATGACTCAAGACAGGCTGGAGCAATTGTAACGTGGGTAGCAGGTGAGCCTGGTTCTGATGCGGCTCAGACCCAATGCTTACCTAACGTACGTGGTGCTTACCCAATGTGCTCAAGGAAGTATATTAAAGTCTCACGTGTCTAAGAACAGAACTTTTGCTCCAGCTCAGGCAACAACCCTTCAGATAGCACCTCCTGCCTGATCATGGTCTTTGGAATAAAAACTTTGGATGCACTACTCTCAATAAATTTGGCAGCTTATAAATAAAGACAGCTTCAGAAGGTGAGTCATCTTTTCTCTGGATTACCTCTTAGGCTGGGTGGATCTCCTACAGAGATGCCCACTGTTCTCTACTGACCCATTGCTTTCTGCTCCAGAGAGTAGCTTTCACAGAGCTAAAATCAGGTAAGATGAAGGATTTTCCTATTTCACATTCCGTCACCTCTCTGGGTGCTGTCCCGGATGACTTGATGAGAACCTCTCCTGCACTGTGGTGCAAAGACATGAGGTTCCTTTTCAGTATAGTTTCACGTTTTTATCATTTCAATTTATTACTCTGACCTCAGTGTTAGATGATGAGTTAGGACCCAAACCATCACTTCAAATGTTCTTACCCTTGACAGTAATAACCGCGCTACTTTTAGCTGCTCCAGCCTCACACTCATATCTGCCACTGTCTCTTTCTTCTGCCCTGTGAATGACAAGCTTGGCTTCAAATCCCGACCGGCTGATGTTATACTTGGAAGAATTCCTAAGGCTCTTCCCGTCTTTGCACCACTTTACAGGGCTGTCTGATTTGGAGGTTTCACAGTGAAGGATCACATCCTCTCCTGCAGTGACTTCAGTATCAACCAGCTCCTTTGTGAAGATGCAGGGCTTCTCTAGAATCACATAAAAACCATCTGAGATGTTTCAGAAGAGGTGCGGATTTTCAGATCACAAGTAATCTGTGAGATTTACATCCAAGATTACTTGTATCAAAATTACAGGTCAAGATTAGTAACAAATATTTTGGTGTTCATGACTATAAAGTCCTCGGGAAGGCACCAGTCATGCCATAAAATGTTTAGTAAATACCTAACGCCATCTGGGAGAAACTGAGAAGAAAATACATCTATAGAAGAACATAAATAAGATCTCTCTCGCATCTTGCTAAATACAAACAAGATGGAGACACGATTTTCCTAAGCCCTTTTACATGTGAGCTGATTAGTTTGAACCTTCTAACTGAATATGGAAGAGTTAATTCTGCATGAAGTGAGGTGCAATAGAGGTTTCTCAAAGCCAGTCATCTAGAGCAGGTCTCATCTCATCGTTATGAGTCATCTAAAACCCAGGCAGATAGCTCAGACTGGTCATGTAGGGTGTCTCTATAACCGCTGGAAGATGACAGACAGCTCCAGAGACCAGGTATTCACTTCCAAAATAGGTCATTAGGGCAGAGAAGATGAACTGCTCTCTGGAAGTGCTTGTCTTTCTACACAGCTTATAGAAGTAGCCTAAGCTAGATACCAACAGCTAAATTGGCCAAGGTACATCTTATTCCTCCTAGCTTAATGCTTTTTAATCCATAAAAATCCAATCAATCAGGAGACCAAAACCTGTTTTTGGTACTTTAGCATCACATATTAGCATTACCAAAAAGAATCAGCCTTTTGCAAATAGGACTTTTCATTTACCTTCAGAAAAATCTGTTTGCATTTCTGTAGCATGGAAAATTTGGGCAAATCTTTTTTTTTTTTTTTTTTCCCTCAAAATTTGAAAAGTTCTTTGCAAGAAACGTGGCGATTCTGAAAAGAATGAGGATATGATCTGACACAGTGGAGACTGTGTGTTTTACATCTCTGGGCAACGAGAAATATTTACGTTTCCAGTAAGAAAACACCTCTCTAATCCTGCATTCTTGGGCTGTCTGGCATTCATTTTATTCCCTCGCTATAGGAGTAGACTAACACTGCAGTTTTAACTCAGTTTAACTTTTCCAGAGAAAACAATTCATTGTCAACAATGAATAGCAGAGAACACACGTAATGTTGCCTTTCAAACAATGAAAACTAAATTAAAAACTTATTGGTTGCACTTTTTTTTCTTTCTTTCTTCTTGAACTAATTGATTTCTCCTCAGTTATCATCACCCCATCAGCTCGGCTCAAGGAAACCTGGACAAGGCATCCAATGTACCATCACTACAGTATAACATTCCCATCTAAGGTCCAATAAACACACTGAGAGTTGTCAGTGTTAATCCCCCAGCCCTAGCTTCATTATATAGGTAGTGCTATTATTGAACATATGCAGATATACATATGATGGGGCCAAATTTGTAGCATTTTTGTTCTTTTTTTTTCACCTACCCACATTAACCCGTAGTTATTTCTACACATTCTTTCCTCTCCTGCAGTTTCTATGATTGAATTACCTTTAACAATCAAACTGGCAGAGGTTTTCTTATCACCAGCTTCAAATGTAATGACCCCCGAGTCCTTCAGTGAGAGTTTTTTCAACGTTAGCAAGTGATATCCACCAGGCTGAGACTGGATCTCATTAAGTTCATTGGTATGGAGTGGGGTTTTATCCAAAAACCACTGCACTTTGCTACAGTCTACAGGAGATATTCTGCATTTGAACATGGCAGATTCTCCTTCTAACACAGTGACATCTTCCAGGTCTTCTGTTATTAGCACTTTCTGGCCTGAAAGGAACATAGATACATCAATTACTGGAATCTTCAGTTTCTAGCATGAACATCGATACTCCCACGTGAGTATTTCAAGAAAGAAATACGTTCATGATACAGAAGACTGAAACACAATTCCCCTGCTTTGAACACAAAAACCATTCACAGGAAGATAATATATACAGGACACACACCAAAATAGGATGAAGACAACTTCAAAGCACCAGAACACATATAGCAGAACAAGTAGCCAGTACAATGTAAACCCACGGTTATAAAGTTTCTCCTGAAGAAACTACCTGGAAAGGCTGAAAGGATGCATCTCTGACAGCATCATTGGGCTCTAGACATCGCTAAGCAGATGATCCCTCCCATGACAACCCCTCTGTTTTTCTAGAGCAATTATAACTTGCTTTCTATGGGACAGGACCACCCAGCCCCCACCTTCTTTGAGCTCAGTCCAACCGTAAACACAGTGGGAAGCAGAGAGAGTGTCTGACTGCAGCTTTAGTAAACAGAAACAAAACAACAGCCCTGAAAACCTGCCTGTATAGATATAGATAGCTATACACCTAACTACAAATGAATACATAAAATAAGGTTAGCACTGTATACAGAGATATACCTGATGTTTTTCCTACTTACAAAACCAGTACAGGGAATTTTTACTTTTATCTTGAGCTTTGTGACAGAGAGGTATTTTTTCACTCAGAAAAGTTGGTGTTAGAAACCTCACAGCAAATTCAGGTAGCTCAGATCCTGAGGCCATGATGGGGATGAAGCACGCTTCTTTGCCTCTCAAGGCTGCTCCAGCAGATGATCAGAGGTAGAGGAGTCTGTCTTTACCCCCCTAGTCATTAATAACTAGCTATAATAATTAATAAGTGGACACCACCACTGCATCACTATGCGACTATTCTTGAATTGTTCCTCCTATTCTCTTCATCGCTTCATCTATTTCAGCTGAAGAGTTGCTCCCGGTTGGGGCTCCAGTGAGGGAACTGCGAGAAGCAGTAACAGCCAGACCTCACTCCTTCCCCTTAAACACTGCCCTGCTGTTAGCATTGTCCACCACCGCTCGTTTACTGCCTGTAGCATCAAACAAAAGCTGCTCAGGTTGTACTCTTCAGTGTAACTCAAGTCTAAGGCACAGAGGGACATTAAGCACTTAAAGATCCCTGGACAACTCATTTACCCATCGCCTCTTCGAAACCACTTCTGGAAAGAGGCATCAAGGGATGTGGAGAAAAGCCTGGAGGCAGAATAATTTTTCTCTCATTTAATAGCAGGCACTCTGAATCATACCCATCATATGTTCACACAGGAACAGCAGCCTCTCCTCACATCAGCATTTTGGGTTTTAAATCATACCCAAAGTACTCCAGGTGTAATTGCTTCAATTTGTCAAATTGCTCTGCATGGCCAGCTCCATGTTGCTGTATTTTTGTCCACGTGTCCTGTGCAGTGTGTATACACCATGACTCGGAGCCAGAAATCAGTAGATCTGCTGCCTGTATGCTGAGAAATAGACTTGCCTATGCATATAATGTTTCCTGGTGGAGAGACAGGATGCACAATCATATTCCCCTCATGCATACCTTGCACGACTAGCTTGGCTCTGGACTGGGCGTCACCAATGTCGCAGGTGTAAGTGTCACTGTCACTTTTCTCCAAGTTATTTATGGTCAGCTGCAGGACTTGTCCTTTCTGTGTGATCTCGTATTTCTTGCTAGCCTTGAGTTCAGCTATGCCTTTCCTCCAGACCACAGAGGATGCAGCTTTCTCACTCTGGCACATAAAAACTGCAGTTCCACTTTCATCAATTTTCAGATCTGAAAGTTCCTTGACAAAATAATTAGGTTTTTCTGGAAGGAAAGAAAAAAAAAAAATAAGAAGACCAGATTTGTTACCCAAGCAAGAACAGCAGCCTCTCCTCACATCAGCATTTTGGGTTTTAAATCATACCCAAAGTACTCCAGGTGTAATTGCTTCAATTTGTCAAATTGCTCTGCATGGCCAGCTCCATGTTGCTGTATTTTTGTCCACGTGTCCTGTGCAGTGTGTATACACCATGACTCGGAGCCAGAAATCAGTAGATCTGCTGCCTGTATGCTGAGAAATAGACTTGCCTATGCATATAATGTTTCCTGGTGGAGAGACAGGATGCACAATCATATTCCCCTCATGCATACCTTGCACGACTAGCTTGGCTCTGGACTGGGCGTCACCAATGTCGCAGGTGTAAGTGTCACTGTCACTTTTCTCCAAGTTATTTATGGTCAGCTGCAGGACTTGTCCTTTCTGTGTGATCTCGTATTTCTTGCTAGCCTTGAGTTCAGCTATGCCTTTCCTCCAGACCACAGAGGATGCAGCTTTCTCACTCTGGCACATAAAAACTGCAGTTCCACTTTCATGAACTTTCAGATCTGAAAGTTCCTTGACAAAATAATTAGGTTTTTCTGGAAGGAAAGAAAAAAAAAAAGTAGACAGACAGATTTGTTACCCAAGCAAGTCCTGAGCATACACAGTGGTCTTGAATCGCTTCTGCCCCCCTTGTAGAATCACAGAATAGAGAGTCATAGAATCATTTAGGTTGGAAAAGTCCTTTAAGATCAAGTCCAGCCGTTAACCTAGCACTGCCAAGTCCACCACTAAACCATGTCCCTAAGCCACTCATCTACACGTCTTTTAAATACCTCCAGGGATGGGGACTCCACCACTTCCCTGGGCAGCCTGGTCCAGTGCTTGACAACCCTTTCGGTGAAGAAATTTTTCCTAATATCCCATCTAAACCTCCCCTGGCGCGACTTGAACTTGAGGCCTCTCATCCTGTCAGATGGAATGGATCTAAGAAGATCACCAGGTCCACCTCGTGTCACAGGACATATCAGGTAAAATATTTCCAGAAAAGTTTAATGCCATTGTACAGGTACTGGTGAGGTCTCATCTTGCAGGCCGCGTACAGTTTTGATCACCCATATTCAAAAAATGCTCATTACATGGCACATAAGATTCTTCAGTACCTACAAGGTGTTTTTTCAGAGTTGTTTTTTTTTTTTAAAGCTTTTAATCCATGACATTATTTGAAAACTAAAAATTGATCCTGTTTAGGGAGATAGGAGAGAAGAACCTCTCCCACAGGTTGTAGGTATTTACCCCAACTTCTGTACATGCCAGCCCCCTGTGCATGCTTCAACTGACCTTGCACTGTGATCCTGGCTTTCGTTTTAGAGACTTCTGTCTCACAGGTGTACTCCCCACTGTCCTTGACCGTGGAGTCATGGATGATCAGAATGGCCCGCGTTCCCTCCTGGTGCAAGTCATATTTCTGGCTTTTTCGGATCGCTTTGCCATCCTTGTACCACCTGATGCTCACATCAGGTTTCGACAATTCACAGCTCAGGCTGATGTCCTGCCCCACTGCTGATGTTTTATCCTCCAGCGGTTTTGTAACCTCAGTAGGTTTTTCTGAAGGGAGGTGGGGGGGAAGGAATTTTGAATAAAAATCATGATCATGATCACTATACAGTTGGGGTTTTTGCAATTCAAATATCCAGCAAGTTTTCACATTCCCCAATGAATGATTCATATTATGTTAGGGAAGAGAGGGGAAAAAGCACTCTTGCTCTTTAGTACATATTAATTGCAGTTATGGGCTCTCAGCGAATATTAATGATTGCTTACAGGAACTGAGGACTTGTCCTGATGGCATCCATTTCAGGGGCTGTCATTCTGTCATCACTGAAGTTACTGTAGGCATGCAGTTATGGTGGGATCTGTCTCACTAAATACACAGACATCTGCGCTATAGAGGTAAGTAGCAGAGGCACTCACTCCAGGGCTGCTGTACAGCCAGCAGCGATCTGCTAAGTACAGGCAATAGACTTCAAGGAACAATTTATTTTGTCCTAAATAGGTCTAACTGCGGATGATGAACTATGTCTGAAAGCTACCTATTTCTTCTCTCCACTGACTACCCAGGGAGCCTTGGGTGATTATTTCTGATGCACGTAGTCTAGGTAGTAATTGTCTGCACAATTACACTACCCAGTGTATTCTGCAATTCTCAAAAATATCTATAAAAAGTTTCAGCCTTTCACTTGTTTTTAAGGAAAATTTCAGTGCTTCAAGGCTCCCAGAGAAGGCTGCTATTCACTTTGATCATAACAAGAGTTTGCCTTCATGGTTTACTGACATACCTTAGTATGTCAGTAGAGAAGACGACACCCGAGAAAACAAACCCCAGAACCTTTCTGATCTCATTACCTTTCACAATCAGAGAAGCCTTGGAGGTTAGACCACGGGCGGTGAAAATGACTTCCCCAGCATCTTCAGGAATCACGCTTTTGATATTGAGCATATATTTCCGACCCATGTTAGAGGCTTTAAATCGCCCACCGCTTTCCACTTTGCTCCCGTTCAGCGTCCAGTTGAAGTCGTCAATGCTTTCATGGGACAAAATACACTCAAAAGTGCAATCTTCTCCCTCCTGGATTTCAGTGTTCTTCAGCCGTTTGGTGATGCCAATGTTCAGTTCTGGAAGACAAAAACTAGGTTAATACAAGGAGAAAGGGCTTTTATGATTGACATGAGTAGTAGTATTGACATTTTTAGGTCATCAGACTGGTTTATCTACTTGACTGGCAGGACAGCACTGCATTCCTTACAGATGTATTTGACACGGGAAGGATTTCTCAGACATTATCCACTCAGAATCATCACAAAGCTATAGACAAAAGGAACAAGTGAATTTCCTGGCTTTGCTCTGGAAAGACTGCATGGAGAACAGCTCACTTGGTGGAAAATAGTCAAGATTCAATGAGATAGAGGGGAGAAAACCTGTCAGGTAGGAGGTCTCTGGGATGTTGTGTGAGGTTTTTCTCTATGATGATATGAAAAATGGGATGTTTGAATTTGTTAATTTGTTACCATCTTACCCCTCCTGGTGTTCAAATCAGACAAATTCAAAATTTGTCTCTTTATCAACATAAGATTGAATGCCATGAACACTTCTCTTTCCTTCAAGCAGCCACAAGGATTAGAGGACAAGCTGAATTTCTGGGTTCTTCAATAGACAACATTGTACTACTTTTGTGTTCCCACAACGAACTCTGAATTAATAGCTCAACAGTCTGAAACACAAGCTGCTTGGATTTTTTGGGGGGTTTTTTTGGTTGGTTGGTTGGTTTTTGAGAAATTATTTGCTCTTCTGGGAGGATTTCTGCACCTTAGGAATGTTCAGGAAGGAAACATTGTCACTACACTCTTGACACATGATTTTCACTGAAACACCAGACCTACATCAAAGAGTAACAGGGATTATTCAGACATCACCATGTTATATGAGGCTCATGGAGGAATAGGTGAGAGAGAAAGTGACCAAGCCCACCCGTATTTGCAGCACCCCTTGACTGGCCATCATCCACAATACTTACCCTGAACGCTGACCTTTGACTTGGCAACATCAGTGCCAATATCACATGTGTATAAACCTGCATCTGTCTTTTCAAGGTCATGGATAAGGAGGCACAGGGTCTTCCCAGACTGTATCTGCTCATACTTGTTACCAGAAGTGAGCTTCACACCATCCTTTTTCCAAACAGGTTTGACCTTCTCTTTGGAGACTTCACATTCCAGTTTAATCGCACCTCGCTCCTCACCAAAAACATCGTCCAAGGACTTCATGAAGACAGCAGGCTTCTCTGAAGGTTAACGGGAAAAACAGAGAACAGCCAGGATATTTGAGACATTTTCAATTGCTACTAAATATTTAAAGAGAGCTTGGCAATGCTGATGATACCAATGCAGTCTCACAGCTCATGACCGGAATGAGTTTTAGGGAAATCAGAATTTATTAGTGGGAGGATGCATGGAAGGAGAGAGGCAGCCTGCATTGCCATGGATGGGGAGTGATATTCAGCGCTGTAATCGTGGTCTCTTATGACTGCACACCTGTGAGATTGCAAGGACTCCTTTTTTCTCTGTGTTGGGGCATCTGTCAGGCACAGGACATCCCATCACAGGGAACGGGGCTTGCAGCAGGCATCTAGGGCCTCAGTGAAGGCCAGAGGGACAGCTTCACGCTTCTATGGAATAGCTACTCAACAAGATAAACTAGGTTTAAGGAAGCATTTCTCTGCATCGTGGAGGAGCAGAAAATGTTCTCTGGGAACGTTCTTTCTCATTGCAGCAGTCTACACGTGGAAAGGGATCAGGGGGTTAGAAGAAAAACGTGTGAAGAGAAGTAATTGGGATGTAGGTCTTCTAAAGCCAGAGAGCTGGCACTGCCTTTTCATGAAGCAGGATTCATACAGTAGGACCAGCAATAAAAGGATATTCTGCACATTCTCCTCACTCTCCTGAACATCTTTGCTCTTGCCTCTTTGTTTTATTGGTTCCCTTTATCTAATCAAAAATATATTTGACACAGAGGATATTTATACGGGGGAAATTTTTGACCAGATATAAAAGAAAGAAGGAAGAGGAAATCCTTCAGACTCTCTGAGTGGATAGAGTAAAAGAGTTAAATTATTCAGATACTCTGGGAAGAGCAAATTAGTCATGATCAGGAGGCAAAATGCAAAGGAAATCAGAGACATTATTCTCTAAAAGGGTGTGGAGGACGTCAGACTGGTTTTCAGAGAATGGCTCAGAACATTTCCCATTCATATTTCCAGGTACAAGAAGGAGTTAATTTAGGATAACAAATCACTATGATTTACCTGAGCATGCATGTACAGGTGTGTTGCTAAAGAAAATATGATTTTGAAATTTCAGTGAGAGTTTTACCTCACGTTTCTGACATGCCTAAAATAATTCACGCAACTTACTGTGGCTTAGCTGATGCACAAGAACATGTTAAACCACAGCAACTCAAAGTTTGGTCACACATCTAAGACACATGAAGGACAGCAGCAAACTGCCTTCTCTTTGCTGATTCAGTCCAACTCCAGAACTGACGTACTAAAGGTGTGCCCTACCCTTGGAAGTACACTGAAGCTCACCTCCTTGCAGACAAAAATATTTAGAAACGAACAGTTTATAGACTATATATTACTGAAGAGACCTACAAGTAAAGGAAATTGCTCTTGAGACTATCCTAATAAGTAAAAGCATGATAAAGAGCTATGGAAAGTTTTGGCAGGACATCAAAACAATCTTCCTTAGAAAAATCATCAGCTACAGTAGAAACTTACACTGGAAGAAAAACCCTGCATGCCTATTACTCGGTCCCGAAGAGGTGAAGCTTACGAGCAGGATTCCTGCATGGGTATGGTATATAAGAGCTCTTTTGCATCTCTTTTTTACATTCAGGAGGAGTGTGATCACAACCCACCTATCACCTTCAGACGCACGGTCTCTGACACCTTGTCTGACTTCATTGTCACTGTGCCAGCATCCTCAGGCTTGACCTGCTTCATCGTCAGCGTGTAGCAATTGCCAACGTTCCTGATGTCATTGAAATTGTTGGTGTAAAGGAGGGTGCCGTTGAGGAACCATTCCACATCCTCGTCGTCGTGAGACAGCTCACAGGAGAAGACAGCAGAACTCTCTTCTTCAATTTCCACATCCTGCAGGTGTTTGAGTACTTCTACATTGCGGGCTGTAGGAAACCAAGGTGCACCATCACCACTGTCACCATAAATCAGTACTGTTACCACAAATAGATTTCATAGTGTTTAGAGTTTATTAGATGATTTCGTCTGGTCTCCTGTACACCATGGGTGATTACATTTCATTTACTTGGTTCTGCATTTAGTCCAACAAAAAACATCCATTAAAAAGACCATATTGTCCAGAGCCCTCAGTTCTCTTTTAACACATAAAACTGTTTTGCTTTTTTTTTCTTTTTAATATAAAAAAAAGAGTGTTTTTATAAAAATGAAAAGATATTATAGAGATGTGC